TATTTAATAATGGAATGGTTTCTCTTGCAACGATTGGGAACAGTGATTGGAAAAACATGTCAAATATATTAAACAGACATGAAATGTCACCTATTCATAAAAAATCATATGAAGATTGGAAAGAATTAGAAACAAGATTTAAATGTGGAAAAACTATCGATGACATTAATCAATCAAGTATAAAAAATGAAACGGAATATTGGAAAAATATATTAAAACGAATAATAGCCTTAATACTAACGATCAGTAAACAGAATTTGGCTTTAAGAGGAAAGTCAGATACACTTAACTCACATGATAACGGAAACTTTTTAAAATTTATTGAATTTTTATCAATGTTTGATCCCATTATGAAAGAACATATAAGGAGAATATCATCAGAAGAAATTCATTGTCATTATTTAGGAAAAAATATTCAAAATGAAGTTATTCGATTACTGGCCAATAAAATAAGATCTCATATCTTAAATGAGCTTAAAAATTCGAAATATTATTCTATAATTTTAGATTTCACTCCAGATTTAAGTAATATTGAGCAAATGACTGTGATAGTCAGGTTTGTAACAGCTATTGAATCAACCACAAGTAAAAAAGAACACGTTTCTATAAATGAACATTTTATTGATTTTATAGAACTACATAGCACTACCGGTTTAAATATGACAGAAGTTATTCTTCAAAAACTTAAGGAAATGGATATTCCTATAAGTGATATGAGAGGTCAAGGTTACGACAATGGTGCTAATATGCGTGGACATAAGAGTGGTGTTCAAGCAAGAATTCGAATTATAAATTCAAGAGCTTTCTATGTTCCGTGTAATGCACATTCTTTAAATTTGGTGTTGAATGATTCGGCCAGTTGTTGTTTAGAAGCTGTTTTATTTTTTAATACAATACAAGAGACTTATGTATTTTTTTCAGCATCAACACAGCGTTGGGGTATACTTTTAAAACATGTTAAACACTTAACTGTTAAACTGTTAAGTCAAACACGGTGGTCCAGTAGAGTTGATGCTATTAGAGCAATGAGATTTCAAGTTGGTGAAATTTATGATGCGTTAAAATATATAATAGATGACACCTCACTTATTGGTGAAACTGGAGTTCGAAGCCGTGCTGAAGCTAAAGGTATAGCTTTGAAATTAAAAAGCTTTATTTTATTTCTTTACAATATATCTAGTACTGATAATTATGAATATGTAATGAAATGCTGTAAAGATCTAGAAATTGCACTTACATCAGATGATTCATTAAGTTCTGACATCAATGCTATTGAACTTTGTGAAGAAATAATCGCATTGCACAGACGTTTAAAAAAGGAAGAGAGTGACCCACAAGCGATTTTACAATATATATGCAAAAATAAATTAATAGAAATATTTCCTAATGTTTACGTGGCATTGAGAATTTTGCTAACTATACCAGTAACTGCAGCTTCAGCAGAAATAAGCTTTTCTAAATTGAAAATTATTAAGAACTATTTACGTTCAACAATTTCACAAGACCGTTTGGTAGGACTAGCAACAATTTCAATTGAACATGAAATCGCTGACAACTTGGACATTGATGATCTCGTAAAAGATTTTGCAGCTTTAAAAGCACGAAAATTAAATTTTTAAGTTGATGTTAAATGAATAAACATTTTATTTTAAATATGTGTAATTTTACTATTTTGACCTAATAAATATACCTACTATTATGTAGTTGCAGTATACACTATAAAAGTTTTACTTTAGTTCTGATAAAAAAAAAAAAATGGCACCTATTTATTTGGAAGAAAAATGATTAGACCACAGGGGCTGCAAAATTGAGTTTTGCCTACGTATAAAAAGTCACTAGGGCCGGCCCTGTCGACATCGGCGGCGAAATAGTCAAAAAGTTAATTGTAATGTCACAAAATTCTAAGTTACGCCTGCCCAGCTCTGGCATCCGTTATTGTCTCGTCTTTGCCACCGTACGAGTGGGTGCGTGTCTTTATGTACGAGATTTTAAATTTCGAAAACGATTACATTTTACATTACGATAAATTGACATTGGGCGAAAACAAAAACCTACCGTGGTTGATCGGCGACGATTACCGAGATTCTAATTATTTGTCCGTCAAACAACACGAGCGCGAATATATCTTAAAAAATTACGAAATACTTTTTAGTTATCTTACAAATTTGTTAGACAACAAGCACGCTAAGTCCCTCCCCCCACATGGTGACACACCATTAGTTACAAAAAAAATCATTGTTTATTGACAAAATAAATATTAAATATTATTTAAAATAGAATCACAAAATATAATATGGCATATTATTATTCATTATCATTTGATTACAAACTATACTTATTAATCTCACTGACTCAGATACAGATAATATTATAGAATAATATTCTGTTTTGTCAATATCAATATTATGTTTTAAGTTATAATTTCTTTTGAACAATTTGTACTAATTATTATAAACTATTAAAATGTATTTATATTCTTCATATTAATATGTTATAATCTAAAATCTTAGTAGGCATTTGGTGTACCAATTAAATGTTTTTATTTTTAGGACACCAGAATTGTGTTCAATTGCCTTGAATCGTTGTATGTATATTTTTCTCATCTTACTAATAATACTAAGTTTTGTGAGATTCAAAAAAAATTGGGAATAAAAGAAACTTCTCTAACAAGAATTAGCGATACCCGATGGAACTGTAGGTTCAAAAATTGTAGAGCAGTAAAACAAAATTATCAGGCAATTATACAATTATTAAATGCAGAAGTTGACATTGCAATGAATAGAGATGTTTCACAAGCTATAGGTAATACCTACTATATTATATTCAAAATATATTATTATTGTTATAGGAATTTTAGCTACAATAAAATCAACTAAGTTTATCATAAATCTATTCATTTTGGAAGAAGTTCTACAGTTAGCAAACATACTTAGTACCAAATTTCAACAAAAGTCTGTAACATTAGGTAAAACGGTAAATTTAATTGAGGGGATGATTGATACTTTTGAACAAAATCGTTCAAATAAAATATGGACTGAACTATGGATCAAAATAAATGAATTTATGATAGAGAATAGGCTATCAATAGACAGTTCTAATGATGTATAATCAGGATGCAATGTTATTATATATTTTTTTCATATATTTTTAAAGTAAATTGGTACTTAAATTTATTGACATTATTTATAGGATTTACCCCTTCTAGACCTAAGCGATTAAGGAAAGAGCCCCATCATTTAAATAATTATTTTGTAACTACTACCACTAGGGCAGAGACTGAACAAATTTCAACTTTTAATGATGACATTAAAAATATCTGGAAGGTTAAATATTTTAACATCTTGGATGCAATAATAATAAATATGAAAAAACGATTTTCACCTGAAAGCTTACAAATGGCAAAAGCTATTGATAGTTTTATAAAACGAATTTTTGATGACAGTTCGTTTTTCGTAGACAACTACAAGGTAACAATAAATTAGAATATTTAAAACATATAATAATAATATAGTATATTATATAAAAAAAAAAATATTATTTTATTTTGACTTTTTGTAGAAACTATGTAATGTTGATGTTGTAACGCTGAAATCGGAAATGTTAGTAGCAAAGAACTGTATTTTTCGTTTAAATAAACAAGGAGATGTTGAGTTGGAAGATTTGAAAAAACTATTATTAGATAAAACTGTTTATCCCAATTTATACTCTTTATTACAAGTGGCGTTATCCATTCCTGTCAGTTCGGCGACATGCGAACGATCATCTCAGCAATGAGAAGAATTAAAACATGGCTAAGAACTTCTATGCACCAAGAAAGATTTACAAATCTCTCTTTGATAAACATAGAAAGAGAAATTTCAAATAACATTTGTACAGAAAATATTTTAGACGAATTTTCCAAAAAAGATCGTAGATTCTCTTTTTAATAATATTAAATATTTATTTATTTACATTTGATTTGTTTTTTTTTTTTATTGTTATTGACAATGGGTATGGAGAACTCCTATAATTCTTAGTTGGAAAGGAGTAAGTAAACAAATGAGTAATACCGTATTACCGTATTTTATCAATGAAACATAATAATATTATTACTGAGTTTATATATTATATAAATTCAGTAAAATTTCAAGACATACTTAAGGGGGGGGGGCAAAGCCCCTCACGACTATTTGATACGCATTTGTCCAGCCCGCCCCCCCCCCAAGTAAAATATTGAAATTGCGCCTATGATAGTATCACTGATCCCGCCCGTGTAACAGAAATGTTAAAAAAATTAATTACCAAACCTACACAATATAATACTTATATCACGGAATTTAAAAAAGAATTATGGTACCCATCATTTTTCAAAAATAATTGTTACTTTGTATGTGAAAAACCTACTACAGTTACAATTGTTCGTAATAATCGATCTTTTATTCGTAAACTAACATTACAAAGTTCTGGTAAATTGTTTTTGAAAGCTGGGTGTCAAGCTCATTCGACTTAAGGCGTATTAATAACAGAGCAAACTGTAGAATCATTATTTGAAACACTGCCTTTAGATTTAAGTATTTAAAATGATTAACGTTGCTCTCACATTACTCAGTCGTACACTGCAAATACGTAATGTAAGTACCTATACAATAGATCGTTTTGAATTTTAATTAGTTCAACATGTCGAATTCTGTTCATAATTTATTATATATTAAATTTTCTTTACTATCGTTCGAACAAAAATTAACCATAAAAAATAATGGCAGGCCTTTACCAGAGTTAAAAGATTTAAAGACAAAATATAAAAAAGGAAAAAGTGAATATTTTCGAAATTTTAATCCAGCATTATATATCAAAAATGAATGGTTATGTGGATGTGAAATAAAACAAGCTCTTTTCTGTTTTCCTTGTTTACTTTTTGGTGGTGTAACAGCTTGGACTAAAATAGGAGTTACTGATTTGCAACATCTAAATGCGAATATTGTTAAGCATGAAAATTCATTCAAACATATTCACAATGCGACAAACTTGAATTTGTTAGGCAAAGTTGATATAAGACATCAAATTGATATTGGTTATAAAATAGGTATCCAACGCCATAACGAGTTAGTAGATAAAAATCGCTATGTTCTAGATAAAATTCTAAATTGTATTAAATGCTGTGGTAAACACGAATTACCACTACGAGGTCATGATGAAAGATTAGGTTAGGTTTGGTTAGTGGTATTTTATATTTTAAAGTCATACCCCCACTATCAGCACCCACGAGCCGCCACTGATTACTGTAGTAAACCGTGTTTACTCCTTATACTAGGCTTTTCATAGTATTGTATTTTTATTAACATGTTTACGTGTTTTTTATATGACCTACGTGATCAAATCTACGTAGTCACAAATACTTAGAATTTATAATGTATAATTTTATTGATTACGAATGTTTTTACAATTATGATTATTATGGATATATGGCGTAAACAACTAATATGTACATTTTAATCGTAAAGCCTATCCGATGACTTTGTCGGGGTCACGCCACGAATAAGGGTCACGGGTATATAAGAAGCATTAGTTTAAAGCATTTTTTAGAATTAGTTTGTGTCTCAGTTAATACAGAACTTAGTATAGTCGTTGGGCTTGTCCCCAACATCGCCGCTATACCTAAGTTCATTCCAATTTTTACAGTACTAATTTCTCGGGCAGACACTTTATGTTCTGTCCTCAAAATTCAAGTGCAACTAAATTACTTTGTTATTATTTTTTTTAATTTACTTTATTAAAACATACTGTTTTTAACTTATAATATAACATTGACTTTCTTACTTATTTCGACATACCTTTTTTTTGTGACTCGATCTTCTATCAACAACGAGACGTCAAAGCACGTCATTAAATAATTAAGTGTACAAGTGTAGTGCGAGAGTACTACATTACTCTTAATCAACGCTATCCGAAACCCATACATTTAGATGAAATTAAAAATTCGATAAAGAAGTTTTTAATAAAATAATTTCAAAATTAAATACTCAAGATGAATTACTAAATTCAATATTATTAAATAAGACATATGAACATCACAGAAACTATCTTACAAATAGAAAAATCGGGCGCTAAGTGCCGCTAAACTACGAGAAACTATCTCGTTGGTTATAAAAATGTTGAAATTAGGTTAAGTGAAGGAAGAATAGGCATAGAATTCGCTCAACTTAAACTAATGCAAGTATTATCGAAGAATCCAGGGTATTCTCAAATTATAAAAATTTGTGGTATATTAAGCGGAGAAATAAGCAATGACAATGAAGGCATTGAAGAGTTGACACTTGAAGACATTTCTTGTTTTAATTATGCACCTATCGTGTCTTGCGACGTAGAAAAAAGTTTTTCAAAATACAAATCTATGTTACCATGACAACCATAGAAATTTCGAATTTTAAAATATAAAAATATATTTCGTAACCTCCTGTTGGTACTCGTTCCAAAATTAATATTACATTTTTTGTTATTATTTTATTAATTTTGCATTTATTTAATTGAGGAATATAGGTATAGTATTTATTCCGATTTTGAATGCTATTTAAAACCCTAATTAATCAACCAAGACATTAAAACTCAAAACAGTAATAACTCATAAACATAAACAAATGAGTTATACACTTTACTTGAAAATAGATTATAACATTATACCTAAACAATTAATAAAAAAATTCTTACGAAACTTCATGTTTACAGAAATCATAATGCAGCAAAACATTTTATAAGGACAATGATAGATATAGGCTAAAAATTTTAAACGTAAACCAAAACAAACTAATGTTGAGCAAGTTAATAAATTGAGAGAATCTTTGGATCAATTTATAAAAAAAAAACCAAACTTAAATGCTGAAATTAGTAGGTTAAAATCCATAATAATTTTATAAAACAGTGTACAATCATTTTTTTGTACACTATATTTAATACATTTACTATTATTTATATAATAATTTTAGTTAATAGATCTGGTCCGGATAATTTAGAAAATTGTAACATACACCTAACCTAACCTACACAATTATAAATGAAACATTGGATTCAGTCATCCCAGATGTAAGAGATATTTCAGAAGATGTAGCTGATACAGGTACTTATTATAATATTAATGCTATAAAATTGTAAGATATACTATTATGTTTAGTAATGTTTTATATCTTTCAACAATTAAATGATAAAACAGTTTCAACTTTCATGTAAATATGTAATCGTGTACTCTATAGTCTATATTCAATACGTTTATTATTATTTTTTAAATAATTTTAGTTGATATCTCTGGTCTGGATAGCTTTGAAAAAAGTAACATAATTATAAATGTAACATTGGATTCAGTCGACCCAGATGTAAGAGATATTTCAGAAGATGTAGCTGATACAGGTACTTAATATAATATAAATGCTATACAATTGTATGATATATTATTATTATGTTTAGTAATGTTTTATATCTCTCCACATTTAATTGATAAAACAGTTGCACATATATTTATCTAATATAAATTAAAAGGTCTAAGTTAAATTAATAACTATTATTTTTTTTTATAAAATTTCTATTACATTTTTTTTTATTTTAATTTGCTTAGGTAAATTAAAGATATTCATACATTTATATTTATAAAAACTAACATAATATTTGATAGCTATTACTTGGAGTGTGTTTAAAAAATGTAGATGTATGTTATAAAATAGATAGGTACCTACTTAAAATAAAATATAAATTACCTAATTTAAAAGTTAAAAACTATTTTTTTTTCTTTATACAGCTTCTATAACTAAGGTAATTTAATTGGTTTAATTTAATGCCATTAAACGTCAACTAATGAGTTTACATAAATAATTATTGTTTATGTTACAAAAGTGTAATTACAATATAAAACTTACTTATCAATCATACAACAAAAAATTTAACTTTAAAAATCATATATTATTAATTATGTTTTTCTAATCTTAGGTAAATTCATGCAGTATGAGTATCCATCTGATATGTGTCACTTTTATGAAAACATTAACTGCAATATTAAATTATTTTAATATCCAGTGGACCATGTAGGTCAGACATTGATTTTCCTTTTACAAAATATAAAGACGGAAAAAGTTTTCGGTTCTCTACCCATTTTTATACAATGAAATTAAAATCTGGTTTAAATGTTAAACGGTTTTTTTTGTTATTCTGTTGGATGGAATGTCACTAAATAGAAACATGTTGGTTGTTTGCTAATTAATCGTCAATATTCCTACTACCGAGATTCTTGGATCAAAGGGATTAATGATTGGCGACATCTATCATCAATAACTGCTTCAGTGTAGAGTATATTAGTGAAAACGTCATATTAGATGGACCAATGATAAAAATAAATCCATTGTTTGATATACTTCTTAAAAATTTTTAAAATGCTTTTTTGCCAAACTAACAACTTTCTTTAGATGAGTCTTTACTGTTGCATCGACTCAACTTAGTTATAGGCAATATACAAAATATAAGAAAACCAGATATGAAATAAAGTTTTATGAATTATGTACGCCCGATGGGTATGTACTAATACATCACAATTGTGTATACAAATTATTAACAATTTGTGATACTTTAAAAATGATTATAAATTATGTATAAATACACATTTTTTTTTACTATCAACACTGATTTCCACGTTTTTCGCGTGCATCCTCGAAAAACAAAGTATGAGATACCTAAGTGTCAAACTCAACACCAATTTGCCTTTTACTGCACGCATTGCTCAAGCATTCAAAAAGACGACCAAATCGGCCAGTGCAATCGAAAGCAAAAGACAGTATATATGTAAATCATGTAAAGCAAATTGCATTAGTAAAACACTTTATAGTAACAAAAAATAAAATTTATTTTCTGATTAAACAATACAAGTTTAAAAGAGAAATATTTATCCAAAAATTAATAAAAAAGCTACATCAAAAATTACCAAGATTTCAATGAACCATTGGGATTTGTTTATAATTCCAAATTTAAATTTACAAAAAAGTTTAATTATGACTAGTAATAAGTCGGATATTGAATAAATAGTTATTCGTTATATTTAGTTGTTGGTCACAAGATTCCTTATGTAATTCAAATAGATTTATAAATGAACGAGCCCCAGAAATATTTAATATAGGTACAGCGAAAATTATTTGCAACATAATATCATGAACATAAGCTTTTTAAAATATATTAGTTAAATTGTATTAAGTATGTATTACTTAGACATAGTATTTTTTTTTATTATTAGCAGTAATTAATTATACCTGACAAACATATAACATCGGTTTTTACATCAAAAATATTTTGTATACAACGTATACATCACAGTTATGAATACAAATTATTAACAATTGGTGCCACTTCAAAAATGATTATAAATTATGTATAAAAACACATTTTTTTCTACTATCAACACTGATTTCCATAAATATAGGGGACACATAACGCCACATCAGGGGCTATTCAACATAAAGACAATTCTAAGCTTACAGAACACAATGTCATGCCAGAGGCTTAAAAAACTATCAATTTTAAACATTGTGAATACTATTGTGTAAACTATGGTTAAACAATCAGTGTTTATTATAATACCACCAAAATTAAAAGTAGCAGGTTTCATTTTTAAATATTGTATACAATAGACAGTGTAGTATAAATAGAATCAAGCTAAAAGTTACTTATTTTACTTAGTTACTTGCCAGTTGTCATTGAATACAATGATTTTGAGTATGATTGTCAAGTATTTTAATAGATGCTAATAACAATTCATTTTTAAACTGTGTATAACTAATATTATTTATTTTAATCAATCTTGAACCGTAATAAAAGAATTAAAAAACATTTAAATTTTAGTTCATAATCAATTGCAAATATCTTCAAATGATAGGTATCATTTATAAAATAATTAAAACATTTAACAGTTCTATAATAGGTGGGTTCTATACCAACTATATTTATATTACATTAGGTTTCTATCAAAATTAAAACAAATTCATGATTCCGGCAACTAAATACAAATTTGATAAAAATTATTAATTTACTATGACATTAAAGTAAAAGAAAATTTTAACTAGTTTTACCAATGCAATTGTATTTGTTCAGACTAAATACCAACTAAATCAAAAGGTAAGTACATAAGACATAATTTATTCAGACATTGCCAACTTGATATAGCAACTACTGACCTACCATCAAAAATTCAAGTATTTGTTATAAACATACTAATATAGTATAAAAAAACAATAGTCTACCAGAATTTACTTCAAAGACATTCAACTATAACTCCAAATACCTAATGTAAGACATTAAGTATATTATTATTAACCTAAACTGAAACAATTACAAAAATCATGTACAGGGGAAAATTAACCACTCACTAATAAAACAAAAGGATTAGACTTCATGTCTTTTGAAAAAAAATTGAAGAGTTTGTTAAAAGTTATTTAATGTAATTGTATGTACTAACAATGGTTCTGAGAATACAGCAATCCACAGAGAATCAGTTAACAGTTTACTTACAATTAATCAAAACCAATCCAAAGTTAATTAGACAAGCCATAATATATTAACACAATTAAAAAGCATACTTCTATTTTACCTGAGATAGATTGTTATTACACCAAAAAATTGAATAAAAACACAAAATGTACTTGGATGAAAAGATTCGTGAACTGTATGAGGAGTGAGACAGACTCTGCTTGGCAGATTTTTTTTTATAAAGGGATAAAAAATGCTGTTCAAGTATAAAAATGAGTTTCAAATTAACTTTTAAAATAATTCAATAAATATTTAATTCTAACCTTTAAGAGCACATAAATAACAAACCATAAATAAACCATATAATATTGATCTCAAATGCAAAAATAAAATTAACTAAACAATATATTATATACTATGTTATTAATATTTATGTTTAGGGCTAGGGACTTATAGAAGTTAGCATATTTTTCAATAATCATTCTAAGCATAGCTAAGTGATATAGAAATTTGTTTCATTGTACTAGGAGCTTAAAGCAATAATTTTTATTTTGCATATTCAGTTGTTTTTTCCTCATAAGAGCATATTTTGTTATATTTGTATTTTAAGAGCACATTTCACATATTTTATTAAAATTTAAACAATACTCGGCAGAGAATAATATATTATACATATGTACTATACAACATTTAATATGAATTTTCTTGAAATTGGAAAAAAAAATAGATAAAAAATTATTATATAATCTATACTTTGTGATTTCCTAATTATTTGTGTGTTGTGAGAAACAAAATCGGTCAATAATAAATACGCCGAAAACGGTCAATCGATGTCAATTTGTCTATTTGTATAATATGTGTTTTCGTCTTGCGTCAGTATAGTTTGTCTATCGTATTGCATATTCGTATGTGTTTTTTTTTAATTTACCTAGTTCGTCTGTTCACATTGTTTATTTAAAGATTAAGTTTAAAATGTCCAAAGTAAAAACAAATATATGTAGCTGCTTACAGTCAATGGTTTCAGAATCCGGTAGTTCTGTGTTTTTAATTGTTGAATCAGTACTATTTTGTAAACTTTGTGGAGTTAGAGTTAGTGCTCATAAAGAAGAAATGAAAACAACAGTGTAACTTTATAAATTTGTAGGTTTTTTGAGTTTTTAACGAAAAATAAAAACAGTTTTAGAGCATATTTTAGCATTTTTGCATATTTTTATAGCATATATGATCATTTTTAAGGGCATAAATGCATGCATATTTTAAGGTTTATTATGGAATGAAGTTCTATGGACAGTAATATAGTATTCACCTAGTTCACCTGAAAATATAATGCTCACATTATCACCACCAAGTCGCTTATATAAAGATGGCATTTTAAACGAGCAACAAAGTGCATGGGATCAGCTAGTCCTTGATATATAGAACAATAAAATTGTCTACATAAATAAATAATAATATAAAATTCAAATAAATTATAAAAATAAATCTCGTAATAAATAAATGCAACAAATTATACATAGGTAAATCCAAATAAATAACTTATATAAAACCTTAACTCACTATATCAGATATTCATATAGATAATAATAGGTATACATTTAATTTTTATTTAAAAATTTAAGCAAAGTAAAGAAAGTGCATATTCTAAATCCAATCAATTGTATTTCATTAAATCATACTCAAACTCTCAACTTCTAAAACATCACAATGTAAATAATATTTGGCTTATAAACTATGACATACCTACTAGCTGGTATCTCTTTTAATAAGGTTGCCACCAGTCTCATATTTCTTTGAGTCTCTCTTCCCCTTACTTTAGGTGTGGACTATTTCTATTTCCTAGGAAGATTGGGAGCAAACTATAAACCCATAACACTCAAGTCATTCATTGAGACTCACCTTTCACAAATCACAGCCATTATTTTCAACTGGATGAACATTGAATTGGTTGAACGTTGAACTAGTTAAACATTGAACTGGTGCTGTGGACATGTATATCATTATAATATTAATAAATTATTTCTGCAAGTACTCACACTAACCTAACAACTCGACGTACACGAGATCGTGCAAGAATATGCACTACCCTCTAGTCACGTTTTTTGGCAACCACCATTGGCTGTAGTCACTAGAAGTCTGACGAAGACAGAAGAGTGAAAACGAACCAAACAACGTGGTTTTGAACGGCGACAAAAGATCGAGCTGTACGCCTGTACAAGCTGGCGGGTTAGGTGCGACCGTCGTGACAACAGATGGCGCCGTCTCGCCCGACAAAATGTGAGCAAAAAATTGATTGTAATTTTTATATGTGAAACCCTAAGATGAATTGTAAAATATAAACAACTTTAAACTGAAATTGTGAAGAGAGTTTTAGAAGAGAAATTAGCAAGGGAGCATAAACTATGAGTGTGTTGAGTGTGATGGAGCAATGGCACATGAAAGTTCGAGAACAACAATGTTGGACTCTCACCGTCTTGACGCCGACGGCCGACGAGTCGGTTGACGAATGCACACTGCGGAGTGATGACTGCTCGGAGTTTCGGGCACAAATAATATATTATATAATATAAATTGGGCAATAGATAAAAACGGACTTCGTTTAGTTCGGTGATTCAATGAATGTTCTGTGGTATTACACAAAAAACATGGACTCTGGACGTAGCCACATAGGTCAAATACTTCATTATCGCTGTGGCGGGAAGGTAGAAGGAACAGTGGTCAAGAAGTCAAACGAGTGAGAGAATAAAATATAAAATATAAGACATGATAATTACTGATAAAACGGCGCGTTTCGGACAACCACTAATCACAATGCAGAGCAATTAATGACGTTTTGTGGTAATTTACTAATTTAATACTGAAGTTATTTGATAATTATTTATCATTTAAGGTTAAACTCAGACCGTAAAATTCCACATCGGTTTTTACAAGCATCGTTCAGAGGACGTAATACTGGTATTTGTTGTCTCCGTCATACCAGTGCACAATATAGCAAATTTACGCTCAGCAGAATACTTGTAGCTCATTTAGTTTAAAAATTAGAGTGAATTGACCTATTTTGGAACTTGATGGTAAGAACATCATCTGTTTTGTACGTTGGTTTTTTACGATAGTTCAATTGTTTAGCAAGTTATATGTATATAATATACGGTAAATTAAAAATGGTCATAACTCACTTAAAAATTGAATTATCGCAAAAAAACTACGTACAAACACAGACTATGTTCTTATCATCAAGTTTCATAATAGGTCGATTCACTCTAATTTTTAAACTAAAGGAGCTACAAGTGTTCTGCCGAGTGTAATAAATTTTGCTATATTGCGCACTGGTATGACGGAGACAACAAATACCAGTATTACGTCCTCTTAACGATGCTTGTAAAAACCGATGTGGAATACTATGCTTATCTGTGTTTATATATTATGTTTATCTAGGTAATAAATACATTAAATTATAAATAATCTGTTTGGACTATGACTGAGCAGCAGAAATTACGGAAAACACATTTCGACTAACTCAACGCATAAAATATAGCCATATAGACTAGAAACTAGATAATGGTATACATTGTAATTAGTATTATGATTCAACAATTTAATAAACGTTCAAGGATTTGAATAATTCAATTACCTATATGATACTATAATATTAGTAGGTACATATTATAATTGTATTCTGTGATTATATCACTTATGGTTAAGACAGCTTGACAAAGCTATTATTTTACTATTTACTTATACAGTTATACCTACATTGAGAATTTATTTATAAGGACGATGAGAAGGGAAAGTAGGGGATTTAATAAGGTTAAATAAATTATATAATTGTAATAACGCAAAAAGTAGAATAAACAAAAATAAGGCTCCTGCCTACGTTAATATTAAAATCGTATGTTAACTTTAAGAATCTGTATGATTCTCTACACGTATAAGTGCTGGAGAATAATACCAGAAAAAGATGCAAGTATTGCAATTACGTAATACGTTTTTACCTTCCTCCAGGTGTTCTTAGGGCTCTCGAGATCGTGTATTCGAGAATTTCATCAAATACCTACACTGTACAATATAAATGTAATAGGTATGTAAATATAATGCAATATAAAGTAATCAATAACAATATACTTTATATTAAATGTCTTACCTGACTCGTATAACTGTCTCTGGGTTATACTGTAGGCTATAGAAGTTTTAGGTGACACAAATTAATTACTCAAAATACTAGAATCAAATTAATAAAACACACTGATTATTGCTCGTCATAAGGAATCCAGTTGTGTCTCTCGTAGGATTCGGTACAGAGAGGTTGTTACTCTGTTTGGCGGTGCCCATGCACTGGCAAAGGGACGATCCAGTTGTGTTGATCAGAGAGTAATAGGCGGCTTCATCAAAGGGTCGTTTTTTGGATTCGAGAGGTAGATTTCTCTTCTGCGACAAGGTCACAAGGACTTTTGTTTACCATACCTTTTCTCTGGCGGTATGTCAGAAAGCCCCCGCCCTAGGTACACTTAACCGTTGCAAACATAGGTACGTGTCGATTTCTTAATCCGTGATCGTGTAATATAAGTGACTATTTTTGTCTGTGAAAGTGATTTATTGGGGTCTGGAGTATTCCGATTTCTAAGTGCGACAGTCTGGCCGTTATTTATTTATATTGAATTGAATTGTTATAATGATGTGCGAGCATATATCATTATTCATTACAATAAATTATTGAGTTTCGATTTTCAACAAAATATGTCATTGTCACTCATTCAATGTGGAGACCGGAGACGTATTTTATAAACGGATAATTTTCTTAAAAATATAGGCACTCTCTCCAGATATAAAAAATATTTATATATTATATACAAACAATTGTGGCGTGCAGAACAAAATAAATGCTCTATACCATTGTGTACAAAGTACAGAGGTTCTGAATAATTTACTTAAAATAATATAAAATAAATATATGAATTAATATTTATACATATAATATGTGTGTATAAGTGGCTTAGTGAGGTGTGGTAGTGAGCTCAATCTGCGGAACGCTCCGAGTGAACGTACCGGCTGGGGTTACTAGCTCCTGGATGGGTGACCACCAGGGGTTTTTACCAACAAATCCTTGCCACACATACACAAAACACTTGTTACCCCCTACCATCATAAAAAAAACCTACTAAGCCTATACAAAAAACCCCTACTGTACGTTGTATCAGTATCACCCTACACCCAACGGCCTATGTTTCAAGGGTGATCTTAGTAAAAACAAAAAAATGTGTGTAGGTATCGTAATGTTAGCTCTCCGCGTATAGAAAATTCAAGTATGGTTTTACACTATTTGTACCTTCTTTAGATATTTAATTAAATAGTTTTTTGTGCCTCGATTATAATATTAATTATTATACATTATTGTAATTTGTGATATTATTACATTAATACATTATTATTACAAAATTATTCCGACAAAATATTATTATTATTATTTAACAATTTATCAATCTTAATCCTTGTCAGTTGTAATATTGTCCGTACTCCTTATGATATCGTTTATCGTTAATCGCCAATTGAGAATAGTTAAATTTGCACGGAACAATTTTTAAACAGGTATCTTGAAATTTATATCTATATTTTAAGTTAGTGTCATTAATTGGTCAATTGGTGGCTGCTCTCATCAAACGTAACATGTACTATATAATTTATTGTAAACTGTTATTATAATTAATATTAATATGTTTTGATACCTTATATATCTACTCTGTATCACATTTACTCATTGTGCCTAAGGTATAGATTGTAAATTTTTTTTAATAATATAAAAAAAATATATTTTACGTTAGGTCGTTAGATGATATATTAATAATTAATTAATAACATCTTATACTATATTAGTACAGGTAATATTATTTTTAAATTAGTTCAATTATTTCTGAGGGATTTTTATCATTAATTTTGAATTTAAATAATAATAATATTAACTCAATTAAGAATTAAAAAGAGGATAAGTAGCAATAGATGTCGCTCTGCTGTAAGTTTTAAAATCAATCATCCAATATCATAGTATACGAAAAACCATTCTGAGCGGAGACGGTAGCTACCTATGTCAGTCCAGAATATTTTATATTGTTATATCTATTATTATTAATACGGTAGCCGATAAGTTGAATTAATATTATTCTTAAATTATCAGTGATGCTGGAAAAATATTATATATGCTTATGTAAAATTGGGATGTTTTGGAACCGAAATTCAACAAAATGACTAAAATCGTTATTCTTTGTGATAATATTAGGTACATAATAATAGTAATTTCGTCTAAATTTGAATTAAAATATAAAAAAAAGCTGTGCTTATGTTTATTTTTAGATTTTTTAGTCACAGAATTAACTCTTTAAGTAGAACCTTGTTTTAAATTTTCAATCCTTACCTATAGAAGTTGAACATTTAATACATTTTTAACAACAAAATCATTTTTTAAATTTAATATATTTTGTCAACATTTGAACTTTAAATGATTATTAAGCTGCAAAAAAGTGACAATGTATTTTTAGTATTTTTCAACTGATATTGTAACAATATATCAAGAGCCCTGTATTAAATTTCTTCTCTTTTTGACCCAACAGATACAATTTTATTATTTATAGAAAAAAAACCAAAAAAAATTGAAAGTTGAAAATGTCCGTAAATAGCTCAAAACGAGTAAAATATTTTAAAAATGTTATCAAGTATTTGAATTAATAAAATAAACAAATATGGTATAAATTTCAAGTCCCTACAGTTATTCATTTTTGAGTTACAATAAAGTAAAAAAATCGAAAAATCCAATGTTGTAAACCTCAAACGCTCATAAAAATTCAATTTGACTTTCCGTTAGATTTTTTTTTTTTTTTTTGATAAAAGTAGAAAATCTTACAAGGAATCTTGTATTAAATTTTTAAATCTTAGATATAAAAAAAAATTGTTGTGAATTTCTAGCTCAAAATAATTTTCTGATTTTCGTGATTTTTACCAATTTTGTCAAAAAATTCAAACGCTCATAGAAAAAAAATTGTGAATTTACGCTCTACTTTTGTTTTAATTTACACTAACGAAAGTTATGAGAAACCTTGTATTACATTTCCAAGGTTTTTTACAGAGCAAAAATTGTTTTATCGACATGAGTTTATAAAAAATAAAAATCGAACATTTTTTATGACTATAAATAGTTTAACACGAGTCAAAATATTCTGAAAATTTGATGATGTATAGAAAATGCGAATATAAAATATATTCAGTGAAAATTTGGATTTTGTCGAAAATCGATTTCCCATAAAAATTCTCGCTTTCCTTAAATTTTTTATTTGTTTTTCCTGCCACTATTGAAAACTATTAGGATTTTTTTATTTTTGACCCCTCAAAGTATCAACTAGATTCAATTTTCTATCATAAAAGATGCTGTTAATAAAAATCAAAGCACTTTTAGTGTCCCAAAACGTGATAACAGACACAAAAAAAAAAAATATTAAAAAACACACATCATTGTAAAATCAATACATTCATCGCTCCCCTCAATATCTAATATGATTTACCTTATAAATACATATAAACGAGGCTAAATACTTACATCTTCGTTTGATGAATTTTCGTCAGATTTATTTGAGTAATTTGAATAGCAATACATTATGTTTTTATAATTTAAATAAGTGGTACCTAAATACTTAAATTAAGAATTTTAATGTATATTAGATTTTTTTTAAACATTTACCAGATCAATTACCTATTACAATAAGCTGATTAAATTTTTTACGTAAACATTGAATTTATTATATCATTAATATTTAGTTATTATAATAGTAGGTATTATATAATTTATTATTTTACTTATTAGTAATTTATACTTAATTAACTTTTAAGTCTATACCACGAGTGAGCATTTATTTTTATTTTTAAATAATTGATTGTTCTTAATACTTATTATTTGATTAATTTTTAATTGAAATCATAACAATCAATGGACCATATTATGTGAATTAATGCCATATACCTTAAAATTAGTATTTTGAAAACGTTGTGTGCCTTTATAAATTATAATACAATTATACCTAAAAGTTTGAAGTCCCATGAAATATATTTATAGTGCCAAAAAATAATTGGAATTGTTTTTCTTTGTTTAAACATCTAATATCTCCCTAATTTGTACCTCAATTTTGGATTTAGCGTATTGTGTTTATATTTTCCTAAAATTGTTTTTTGTTTTATTCCCAATTATTAAGAAAAGTTCTAGTCATTTTTAACTTTTGACTTCTCAAGATACATACCAACTAGATTTATTTTCATGCAAACTACAAGATCTACCAAAGGGACTATGAAATAAATAGTTAGGTACTTAATGGTCAATGCTAGTCTGTTAATACTGTAGTACATTTTCTTTCCTATTACCATCTTTAATCTATTAAAGTTAATCAATATTAAATTAATATTAAAATTTAATTGTAGGGCTTAAGCTTGTACATGGTTTGAAGTTCTTTACATTTTAGAAAAGTTATTTTATTTTTACATTTTATAGTAATGATGTTTTATTATTTGTATAATGAAAAATCGGCAATTGCCTATACTTTTTAGTATTATCTATAACCTGATGTAGAATACTTTTCTTCCAGTGTAGTTATATAAATATAAATATAATTATTTATAACCAAGCAGTTTAAGTTTTGATGAGTGAATATGTCAAGTAGCATGAGATTTAAGTACTCAGAAATAAAACCACAGAAAAAAATAGTTAATTAGTTAGAAAAATTAGTTCATTATCCTTTAAGGGTAATATTTCAACCTTGTTAATTCTTTATTTTGTTTCAGACTATAAATTTAAAAATATTAGCAGTTCATTGATAAGACAATTTGCATTCAGTGTATTTTAAAATTATCATTTAAGGATTTTAGTACAACACATTTTTCAAATAGGTACAATGAAAATAACATAGTTAATTGTTAAAAAAATGTAAGCCATTTAAATTATTTAATGATTTATTACTTTATAAATTTAATACGACAATTGTCAAAACAAAAAAAATTCACAAATAACATAGAAAATAAAAATATAAGTAATTAATTAAATTAATAATATATTGATTATAATGTAGAAAAGAGTAATAGTAGGTACATGAATATTGTACAACTTTATTAGTTTAAATAAAATGCAAATCAATTGTTTATAAATTGTATGTAAAATTAAGTTTTGATTAAATTAAACTCTCAGTATCACCAATATCTTTTTTGAATGATCCACTAGAGAGTGGATGATTGCCAAATTTATGTATTGGGTTGGTTTCCATGATGTTGATTTTTTGGATACTCGTTTTTATATCTTTGTGATTGTTGAGAATTAATCCCACGGTTGTGAAATATTTCAAAGTTGTCCTGATGTTGAGAGTCATCTGGTTGGTTTCGCCAACTTGGTTTATAACCACCATATCTATTACTACCTCTGCCATGTGTCCTACTACTGATTGGTTTATTGATAGAGTTGTTTTCTAATGAAACAACATGTAAATCGCCCAATGAACTAAATTTATTATCAAACTTTTTTAGCTTTGTTTCAATACTATCCGAATTATTCAAACTGTTTATTGGCTCAATAGGCGTTTTTACAGGTAATTTAATATTGTTTTCAATTACTTTATGTTGACTTGTTGAAGGTTTTATGTTTATGTCCATATGTTTTTCTAAAAACTTATCCTGATTTATGTGTTTTGAAGCAAAATGGTGCTGACGACTACTCTTAGACTCATTTCCTGACAAATCAACCTTTTGTTTTCGCCAAGATTCATTTTTTCTATTATTATATGGTTTATTATTATGATATCCTCTATTTGAATTGGCTTCATTTTTGGTATGAAAAGTGCTTTTAATATTATCATTATATTGATTATCATAAAAATGTAATTTTGATATTTTATTCAACTGATCCAATGTGTTGTCAATCATTTTTTTTTCTTCTAAAGTCCAGTCCAATGTGTTCTTCTTATTCACTAGTTCTTTTACTTCCTTAAGTAGAACATTTAAAAATTGTTTTGGTCTGAATCCGTTAACTTGGAATAATGGATGAGCAAACTAAAATCAAAAATTATAATTGTATTACTATAACACACAATAGGAACAAAAATTAAACAATTAATTTATATAGACAGTATCAACCTATCTATGCAGAAGTGTCATAAGTGGCATAAGTATCCTCTTTCCATTTTTTTTCATTAATTTGATTCAAGTTGATTTTTTATTTTACATTTTTTAATTATAGACGCATTTTCACAAGGATAACTCTAAGAGGATCCATTTAATGGTGAAATCATCGAAACCCTTGGAATTTTATATCTAAATACATGATTTTTTCATATTATTAATGTATTATAAATTTACAATGAATACCTATACTTTTTTATTGAAATGTAATGTAAACCTACATAATGTTTTTAAACAAAACTGTGTTATTTTCAGTTGATTGCTTATCTCTGTATTATTTATCCCCGGAGAACACCAATGCAGATAATTAATGATGTGATACAAAATTGTATTCTTTGTTTTGACTTTTACCTAATTCTATACATTCAAGAAAAATATTTTAACAAAAAAAAAATTAATATTTAAAAAATGACCTAACTTCTAATTACTGATCATTTAAAATAAAAACCATTTTAGAAATCTCATATCACCATAAATTACATGACATCAATATATTACAATACATCTACATTTTATAAGATATCAAAACTTTAACTATAAGGGGTCTGTGTATTTAACTAATTAAACTGCACATTTAAAATTTCAAAAATGTGTATAGTAATTAATAACTTGAAAACATAGAAATAAGAAGCTTCCTAAAAATTTAAGCATCCCTTGAAGAGTTGATACATAAGAATTTGAATAACTTACAATTAAATGGCGTTTTTTAAATGTATCATCAATATCTTGATCAATGTACATTTTTAGGAAGCGCATCATTTCTTTTGGATTATTTTCAAAATAATTGTAATATATCAATATTTGTGATAAAATAACAAGCCTCCTTTTTGGACTTGGAAAAACATCATACATCATATTTAAAGTCTTTACAAGAGGAAATTTATCAACAGGTTGTAACAGGCACTCTACTTTTATTAACTGCAATGAACTACCAAAATGACCAGCAGCCATTCCGCGAGACAAATGAATTTTTGCCTTTTCATAATTCTGAAATAAAACCAAAAAATTGCATAATTTTTTTTTCTCCCAATAACAATAAATTAACAAATATTGTACTTTTTCGTGTTTTAAATAATATTTGCCTAGTACTTGATCCACACGGCTATTTTCAACATTTGACAGTTTTGTAATTATATTGTCCATCATAGATTTTGATAATAACTCTTTAGGATAATCGATACATGTGAGTAGACAAGAATAAAGTTGTTTTGTATTGTCTTTGGCTAATTCAACTGATTTGCTATAAAAAACCAAACATGCAAATATACAATTGTTTAATTAAAATAAATAAATAAGTAAAATAAAATTAAAAACAAAAGGGATTGTGAACAAAATAACAAAAAAAAAATTATTTGATTGTATAATGATGGTTAAAAATGAATTAATCCCAAAATACAAGTTATTTTTTGAAAAATTATAATTTAGATCAGTTAATGTTATCATTATTTTTTGTAACTCATCAATACCTTTTTGTTGATACTTGTATAGAACAACTACTTACTAGGTTAAATCAGATGAAATCTTATAAAATTTTTTTGATTCAACTTGGTTGTTTTTTAATTTATTAACAAATGCTGCTTCCATATAAAGTTTAGAGGCTTGAATTAAATGCCGAGGATTAGGTTTTGTAGAGCATAACATTTCTGCACCATCCATTTCATCATCCTCCGGCATTTTAAATTGTGAGTAATAACGTCTGACTCGTCCTTTAGCTTTTAACCAAATGATTATCCATTCAGGTTCAGTAGAATGAAGGATACGAGCTCGATCAGCAAATTTTAAAGCAATATCATTTCCTTTTGGTGGATATTCCATAAAAATTCTAGCTTTCACAGCACAAATTGCAGACTTTTCGGCTCGGTTAAAACTATTGATTTGTTTAATATTTCTCAGTAACTAAAAAATAAAAAGGCATTACTTTAATGATTTTAACAAATATAATTTTAACAATTGTCTCATTACATACCATATTAATTAATTGACTTATATGATGTGTACCTAATATATTTTTAAAACTCATGGGTTGTTTAGGATTTAATGTTTGAATTGGATCTATATAATATGATATTTAATAATAATTATTGTGCGGATATTCCATACAAAATAGTTTAATACACAAACTCCACCTTAAGATTAAAAATTATTTTAAGAGGGAGGCTTTGTACCTGAATTGACATAAAATCCTATTTAATTCATAAAAATTCAAAACCCAAAATCTATTTTAGCTAGTATTAATGAAATATAAACACCAAAAAACTAAAGCCAAAATAAAGTATGTATTACAGGTTTGCTATGATTTGAATAGCCTATGTTTTAAAATAATCATAATAAAACACATTTAGGTATTCATACATACTTTTTGTAACTGAAACAGTGATAGAAGAATATAAGCTAGTAATCATAGATAATATCCATGCTAGTGATAGACTATGGGCGGATAAAATTGGGATTTTCCCGGTAGGCCCCTATCAATATTATACTCAGAGGCCCCAATCCCAAAAAACAAAAAAAATAACAATTATATAAAAGTAAATCTTTATAATACTGGCTGGCGCCCTGGCGGCTGTACAGTATTACTCCATTAGGGCCAAGGGGCCTCAGTTTAAACCTATCGATACCCGTATAAATGCAATTGTATTTGTTGTATTTACTATTGTGTTAAAAGTAAATAATGTATACAATGTAAATATAAATAAATATAATCAATGTTCAAATAACAAAAATAAACAACCATAATAATATTTAATTTTTTGATTAAAAAGAGCTAAGTATGTTAAATCTACTATCTACGTTTAAATACCTAAATGTCTTTGTATCGTAATAAATTTGATTTGTTCTATTTTTAAACAATCCGTATAAATGTGAATGTCTAAAATATTATTTTCTCTTACATCAACATTAATAAAAAGTATAAGCTATAAAGTACGCAAGTACAATAATATAATTTACCTATTCTAACTCCATGCTCTATGGTATTATTTAAAAATTCATCAGGTGTTATTACTTTTATTTTACTTTTCCTATTGGCTATTGTGACAGTGGCTTTTTGCTAATTGTGTTTTAATTTATTAAATTATAATATAAATAATAATTATTAATTATGTGTAAACGAAATGTCAAAAGTAGGGCTTCAAAAATAAAAAGAATGGATTCAGATTTGTTAAGTAAATATTCCAACGATAAAACTCAAAAGGTTAAATATTTTTTATATACAATACATAGGTGCTAGGTATATGTGGCCCTAGTAAATATATCCCAGTAAAAAAAATTTACCTATCCGCTCATGGTGATAGTGTTTACCACATAAACCTTATCCTAGTAGACGGATATTAAAAGTGACATAATATTCGATAATAGGTAGTACATTTTCTATATAATTTAATACACTACTACAGTAGTTTATTTAATTCTATGTAAACATAGGTCATAGGAAAAGAAAAAAATTATTATATTTAATTAATCTAGTTAGTCTAATTCAGAATTTTACTGGACTACTTTTAGTTAGTTGATTACATGATTTAATACAGAGTTTAAAAAATATAGCATAATAGTCTTTACATTTCGTCAATACAAGATTATTAAATTAATTAAATTGGTATACACGTAAAATACAAATTATTTAAGCAAATTAGGTACTTTGTAAAAATGTAAAAATAATTGCTGTATGAATATGAATATAATTTTTAATATTTACATTGTATTAATACATTATAGGCTTTTTGTATGCATATATATGATACTGATGATGGTTATTATAATCATGAATAAAAAATTTCCTTATTATAGATTACTCAATATATGTACTTTTTGTACTGTAAAACAAGAAATTATTAAAATTTACCTTTTCTGAATCAATTTTCAATGTTAATGCAATATAAGCATTAGTGGCGTGAGCAATATGGTAGTAAGCATCAGAGTACTGTTCATTAGACTCATCAAATTTACAGGTTTCCATCAATTTAAGAACTCTTTCAATTTCCAAGTATGATTCCTGATAACTTTTGCTAATGTAAAGTTCATAACTAGCTACTAATTGCAAATAAAATCTAAAAAATAAAATAGTTTCACTTTAGATATTTTATCTACATTTATATTTATAAAGTGAAAATAGTTGCATGGCAAACTTCAAATTGTTCAAAGGCAAGCCTAATTTTCTATCCACGCACAAAAAAACCAATAAAGGCTCACAAGTCTATGGCAAGTTTATGTCAAATAAAGAAGCATATCATGAAAATAACAATTAATTAATAGTTTACTATCATATTTTTGTCATATGTTGTCCACTCCCTCAGGGCGGCTGTGTCTCGATTACCCACTTTGCTATGGTCGCTGTGTGCAAACAGTTTGGTTTATAAAATAGTACAGTTTCCTATGCTATATACTATTTAGGCACCTAAAATAAATCATTTACAGCGATTTATAAAATTAATATAGACCAAAGTGAACCCATAGCAAAATTAATTAATTTTGCTTTGTGTGAACCTAAATATTATTCTGATACCTATGAGTTTTTATTTATTATTAAAATAATAACATAGAGGGATTAAGTTTTACATAAGCAATCTCTAACAGTTACCTATTTAAATTGAATTCATCATCTTTGTCCATGATCATTTCTTGTTTTTCGCGAATCTTATCGATGAGGTTCATCATAAGATTTTGATTGACACCTGTTAATTGTTGGATGTCCCATGAAAAAATACTTTCATAATCATTTTCAATTTTTCTTAGCTGCATACGAATGCTGTCTTCCAATCCGAGTTCATTCCAGTGATTATCGTTGAAAGACAAAGCACCCATTGCATCAGACAATTGATCGACACAACCGGCCATTTTTCAGTGTAATTTTTTTTAAACACAAGTTTACTAAATTTATAACAACAAAATATTATTATAGTGCATTCGTTTGACATAATATTAAACAATTACGGCAGTGAGTGGCTCTGATCAAATGATAAATGTAACGTTTTCAAAAATTCAAAACTACCAAACAGCAGGGGTTAAAGTGGGGAAACGCAGGACTCGGTTCCCCTACCTCTAACGGCGGTTAAAAAGTGTCCCCTTTAACAAATTAGGATTTTATACATTATACATTATACATAAAATTAATAATTATACATGGAACGCTTAAAACTATGTGGAGATATTAGTCCCCTCCAGATTTTTTTCCCACTTAAAACCCTGCCAAACAGTAGCATACTCACTCGCAAAATTCGCAAAAATTCAATCAAGAGCTCGCAACAAATACTTCTAGGAATCACGGAAAAATAAAAATAATAAACAACAAAAAGAACAATAAGGTACAACCACAGAATAAAGTACAATGTTCAACCGCCGACCTTTCGTATCAGTGGTTTCTGGTACAATATTTTGTGAGACTATGGAAATGTGTCGTGTGTGCAGTACTGCAGTGTGCCTACAACTGCAGTAAGTGGGATTATACTGTCAAATATCTCAATACTAAATTGCATGAACTCGTCGCGACGTTGCGGCAGAACCGCAGGCATAACATAATAAATTTATTTGAATTTGAACGGATGATAAATTGATAATTGATAGTACCTATGCAATTTTACTGGCGTAAGTAGAGTTAAGGTCTAGGCTCTAGGGCAGCCATGTCAAACTCAAAATATTAACTGGGCCAAACATATTAAATAGAACACTATGCACATACGTATTTATCGAATAAAAATATTATATTATAATAATATAAAAAGTCAGATGAAAAAAAGTTAGAAGTATTTGAGAGAAAGATATTGAGAAAGATATTTGGCCCAAACAAAAACAATGAAGGAGAATATGAAATACGTAGCAATAAAAATTTAGAGGAATTATATAACGAACCCAATATTACTGGGATCTTGAAAAGCGCACGAATAGGATGGGCTGGGCATGTATGGAGATCAAAAGGACTAATCGGACAAATAACCGCATGGAAACCAAACGCAAAGAGGCCCAGAGGACGTCCTAGACAGAGATGGGTTGATAGAATAAAAGAAGACCTAAAGATGTTGGGAATAAGGAATGCCGAAGAAACGGCACAAAACAGAGAAGAATGGAGACAGTATGTTGTTGCGGCAATGGACCTAAAAGGCCTGTAAAAAGCCAAAGAAGAAGAAGAATAATATAAAATATTATATAATACTGGTTCGTTTTTACTTGATTTATACGCCATGCAAGTTGAGAAATATGTTAAATCTTCATTTTGTAATTGTATTTTCAATAGATTAAGGGACTGGACTCTAGGAACTTCATGTTCTAAAAAACCTTCAACAATTCATGCGTTTATACCCTAAAAATGTATCATATTATAATATGTTTAATAATATGCAAGTATGCTTAAATATGCTCTTAAAAATATTTTGTTTTCTCATTAAAAAACCAGAAAATTAAAATTAACATACATTTATGTATGGTATTTACTTTTATTTATTAGTTCTTCTTCTTTTTTAAGTTTGCCACTAAACAAAGCAAAAATTGCATATTTTGTAAATGCATACGTAGGACACGTGCATTTTTATGCGTACCTACGTCAATTAACTAAACAATAATTTTTTGTTAAAATCTCAATAAAGGACAACAAACACCTACTGCGTTAATGATTAAATAAGAACCAAATTATTTAATATTTAACTCTTATCTATATTCTATATGGACAATTGCGTTGTGTGACTTAATTTTATTGAATGTAAATGGGCGACAATTGTTCACCAATAAATGTTGGTAAAATAATATTTAATCGATTTCTAGAAATTTCTTGTTAAATATTGCGTACCTAATACGTGAAAAATGTACTTAAAATACTAATACAACCAAATATGCATTTTGATATGAATAAGTGTTAAACACGCAAAATAAAAAAAAAATGCTGTAACGGTCTACACTCCTTGTAATAAGAAAAAAAATTCCTGCAAAAGTGCTTAAAAAATTTGGAAACGCTATAACATTAATAACTGTTTGTAATTTTTGTATAATTGTATACCTACTTAAGGAAATTACAGATAACATTGTTGCACGTTTACTATTGGTAAATGGTTACTTAATATTAATTAATCACCTCTAATGTTGTCTCCTGAGAATGTGGGAAGCCACCGCCGACATGGGACGTATGGGAGGGGCAGCCGTATAGCCCGTATCCCAATATATTGTATGTATATAGTATATAGTAATACAGTTTGTCAGTTGTATATTATTAGGATACGTATACCTATTACTATAAGCAATTATTGTATATTATTATTGTTATTACTATTATATAGGTATTATATTCGCCTGTTGCGCACGGGCATTTGGTAGTATCTTACCTATGGGCGCCGCGATCTTAATTCTTGTTCATAGACTGAGGTCTGAAACCGGGCATGGTACACTGCTTGATAATATATTATATTAGTAAGTTAAAGTATTTTTATATTATCTATAGGTTCACTCCAGAGCATGATTTAATATTTTAATACAAGGCATAATAAATTGTAGTTCGTGATGATAATGTTATCAATGATAACTTATCAAATATCAATAATAACTTAACATCCTCATTCCTAACAGCTCACGGTTTGACTGGTTTGAGTCGTTTAAGATATTTAAGTTTCCATCTTAAACCGTAATCTTGCTTCATGAATAATATAAATTTATTATAGCAATACGAATTTAAGAATACTACCAATCCTATTCAGATTTACAGTTATTTTATTAATTATTAGTTATTACACAGTGTCACAGTTCTAATACAGTAGTTATTATTGTAAATGTTAGTATGTTATACTGTTATTTGATTTACTATTGTGGTTATGTTCCTATTTAAATCTTAATAATCCATTTCAGATAAAATATTTAACTGTTACTTTTCATTAATTAAACTCGAGTAATAAATTATTAACAGATTTGTACTTGTGTTCTGTCCTCTGGTAGGCGTATATGTTCCACGTTTTTGAATTGAAAAGTTCAATTTAATAACACTTACCAACGTTGTTTGTTTAGAAGCTATTTGTGATCAAAATAAGGAATTCGAGTACCTCATCATATTTTCTATATTAACAAAATTTGTTTGAAATGTCAAAAAGAAATAAGATTTCGTATATCAAACCACGAGAACCATCATTTTTGACAAAATTAAAACAAGAAGCCAACTATAAAGAAGGACCTACAGTTGATACGAAAGTGGGTATTATTATTATTATTTGTTACTTAAAACTAAATATTTCAAAGTACATAATGAAGTTTAGGTGTATTTTTATAAAGAAAAACTTATTAATCATATGAAATAATAGTTTTTATTAGTAGTACCATTAATTATAAGTACCATAAAATGGGGTTACTCTAAAGGTTATCCCATTTTACAGAATGAACTATTTTTTTCAAATATTTCTTAAAACTATTAATCAAACATTTTTTTTAATGTTCAATACAGCCAAAGATAGTGACAAGCTCCTCAAAATTATATTTGTCATTTTTTAGCTGGTGGAACACTGGACACCTATATCAATTCATAGAAAATTGATTGCATCATTTTAGCTGTTGACCCTGCACTACATTTCATATTATTTTTTTAAGTTTTGATGCTAAACATTAATATTGAACACATTTTAACAAGAAAAATTAACAAATCCCAATTAATGTAAAATAATAATAAAATAAAAAGAAAAGTTGTATCAACCAATGCAATTTTTTTTTTTCAAAATACCTTCCTATAATATTCTGTAACAATGTTCTCAATTCTCATGATATTTCTACCATAAAAATTCAATATACATTAAAAACTGTTTGGTGCGAATTTACCCTGTAAGTCCAGAGCATAGAGTAATATTACTATATTACTATATTACTCTATGGTCCAGAGTTACCCCCATTTTATAGTAGGTACTACCTACTAAATTAACACCTACCTAATTTATTAATTTTTTTTTATATTTTAAAATTTAATATAATAACTATCAATATGTAAGATTAACAAATAATAATCTACATAATATACTTAAAATATTTCAACAGTGTCATATTTTATTTGTTTTTAGAAAATTGAACTTCCAACTTATGAAGATGACGAATCATATGATGATGACAACCCTACTGTAGTTGTATTAACTGAAGGAGATTTAACTTCTGAAGAAGCGTCCAAAGAGACATTAGCCAAAGAACAAGGTATAAAATGTTTGAAATATACATTTTGTATATTTTAAATAGGTACTCATTTAATTGATAAATTATTTTTCTTTTCAATATCTACAAAATCTAAATAGTAAATATTTTAAAACATTTAAATACATTATGGATATATTTTTCAGAAGAAAACAGTAAACCAGCAGATTTATCTAAGCGTATAATCTTCAAACGTCCAGCTAAAACTACACCACAATCTGAAGAAAAGCATAGAGTGAATAAAAAGAAAAAACGAACAGAAAAATTAGTTTTATCTTTTGATGACGAAGAAGAGTATTCTTAAAACTGATTTGCTTATGGTAAACATTTTACTCAGTTTTTCAAATGGTGGTATAAACCTTTTTTAGAGTTGCTGCTACACACGGTCCTCTTATTTGTGCCTATGAATAAGTCCCCATTAATTTTATACAAAAATGTATCATTGATAATCCGGGGTTCAGTACTTATAACATTTAAAAAACACTAAAATATGCACTTATATATGACCCAATAAACTTAAAAATGAAAAAAAAACGCTTAAAAAATCATTATAAAAGGATTTATTTCATATAAATATAAAAAAAACTTTGCAGTTTAAATCAGATTAATTCCAAACTCATCTCAACCTATTGTCTGTATGGTACACCGATTGGCGCATTAAACCTAATCCCACTAAGTCAGTACACACAACATTCACTTTATGTAACTCCATTTGTCCAAATGTCTATTTAAATAACATACTTATTCCCACAACTGACTCAGTTAGATATCTTGGACTTAACTTGGATAAGCGCCTCACCTGGAATAGCCATATCCGTATAAAACGACTTGCTTTAAACGCCCGTATTCGCAGACTACGAACGCTACTCACAAATAACAAACACTCCAGTTTAAAAATTAAAGTTCTTATGTATAAAACATTACTCAAACCTCTATGGACATATGGTCTCCAACTATGGGGTACAGCAAAAACGTCCAACACAAACAAAATTCAGCAATTTCAGAATATTGCTCTTCGAAAAATTACTAATGCTCCACCCTTTGTTTCGAATTACACTATACATAATGACCTGTCAATAAAAACTGTGACAGAAGAAGCTATACGTTTCTACAAAATCTTTCATGCCCGGCTGCAAACACACCATAACCCACTCATTAAAAACCTATCCATCCAAACATTACCTGGCAACCCCAGGCGTCGATTAAAAAGGAGATGGTGCCGTGATTTGTTAGGGAACTAATATCAAATATAAAAATTATAAAAATAAAAAATAAAAAAAAAAAAAAAATATATAGCTAGTTTCATACAACCTCCAGTTAAGTGCCATTAGTGGGTGGCTTCTTACTCAAGTACTCATGTATTATATTTTAACTCTTATCAAATATGCTAATTGTGCAAAATTGTACAGATTGTATATATATTGTGTAAAAAAAAAAAAAAATCAGATTAATGAATTTTAAAAAATAAAATAAAATCTCTTAAAAATTGGGTTTTGAATGTTCTAAAAAAAAAAAATACTCATTTATATAATTATATATAATATAGGTAAATGTTTCCTAACATTTTTGTTGTTAATAAAATGTTAACCTCCGTGATTGCATTGAACTTAAGGTGTTTTTGAATGTTTTCAAACAGGAAGGTTTTCGTAATTAATCGTTCAAAATTTTAATTAATATATTTTTAACAATAATATTATCCATAAATCGTTAGAAATTGTTGAATATACCTCAGTATAGCAAAAAAAAAAACCTCTAAAATATTCAGAATCAACAAAATATACAAAAATTAGCAAAATAAAATTTCACACATCACCTATGATAGATATGCAAATGCTATAGGTCCCTAACCCTGTTGATAATATATCATAAGATAAATTAAATTTATTCCCAACTTCCAAGTATGAAGTCATGGCAAAATCGTTTGATACTTATTTATTACTTATTTGTCAATTTGCCAATTTATGTTCCTGAAATATTTTTAATTTCTTTTATTAATAATTATTATTATTCATTACCTATGTTATATTAATTCTTAAATAATTGATTTCATAACAATCTTTACACACACTTCAAAATTAAATCAAATGTTTTTTCGTTTAATTGAATGATTAGTATTTATTTAATAAACTATAAATACTTTTTTCGATAATTATGTTTTGAAGCACTTTACACAATACTTTTCGAATATTGATCTGAGTTAAGTTATTATTTTCTATTTTCAAATTGAAAATAGTAACTATCATAATTATTTATTAATAATTTAATATAAATATAGAACTACATTTTTTAAATATTTATTATTTAATTTATTAACGTAATTATTTAAATGAAAATGACATAACAATTTTTTAGGATACTACAAAATTACTTTTCGTTTATCAAGACATGGTTGAGTGATAAGTTGATTGCAACGATGACTTTTCCAAATAAACATCCATCTATTTATATTGTATGTAATATAGATTTATTTTAATAAAACATGTACATATATAATGTTAATACAATTTTATGATAAATTATGATGATTCATTTGATTTCAAATGAATTTTATAAGCTTACATAGTCTCTAAAATGGCAATTATATTCAGTAAAATATTTAAGGGTAAATTTATTTTTAGTTTATTTTAATTTGTTATGTAATTCAAAAATGTTAACTGCTATATTATTATAAAATCTATCTCAATTAATATAATTATCAAACAATAATAAACAATATTATTTCTATGAATTGTGAATTTTTATTTTTATCGATTAATGATGTATTATACCTATTGCCTAAAACTTGTTTTAATATTTTTAATTTTTATAATGTTTTACAAGCATGTAATGATTACCATTATCATTGTAACTTATGAATAGTAATGAGTAAATTAGCATTAATACAAAGCTATGAATTTAATGCATTAAAAACCTTTAATACTGCACTTAAAATCTTTAAAAATGCTTAATAACCATACTACTAGTTAATATTTATTGAGTATGATGTGTATTTGGAACATGTAAAATATTTATTAGACAAAAATCAAAAAATAATGCTTAAGATGTGTAAAAAATGTTTTGATTGACTGAATTATTAAAAGCATTTGAAAAAATTATCTCAAAAGGCCAAGTCTTAACCTAATAAATCAAAATTTCAAGAAATAGCCAAATACATTTCAAAATTAAATTTAATGGTACCTAATTCAAACTTTGTATTAAAAAATCTATATTTTACAGTATCTATACTTTCTGATCCAACAAGTTCAGCATCTAGCGATCAAACATTTTCTGCAATGGGTCAATAAATAATTATATAAGCTCAACTATATTACCAAATAGATAATGTTAATAATGTAGCATAATGTTTATTATAGCTATTGATATTGAAAGACATTTATCAAATTTTCTAAACATAAAAGAAATTTAAAAAAAATTTACTTGTATTGAGTGGGAGGGTTAAACCGTAATTATTAGTGTATTATTATAATGTTACCAACATAAATTCTTTAACTTTCACTTGTATTTTTAGAAAATTTAATTAAAAACATAAATTTGTAACTAAAATAATAAATGTCAATAGTTTAATATTTAATTCCTCTTTTTATGATTCGTGTTATACAAATAGTATAATAAAATCAATGTAACTTGTTTTTTTTTTTTTTGGAGCTTACTTTACTTAATTTATTCTAAAAAGCTAGGGTTGAAGTCCCCCAACTTTAAGGTCTAGTAACGCATATGGCTAGTAGGTGATAATTTAATATAAGCTATACTATTTTGGTAATAACTACGAAAGGTAGTATCACATATGACAGCGAATGCGCCTTTATCGAGGCATTGGTGGTACAGTGTGAGAGTGTATCGTGTATGAAACATAATACTAGCATCTGAACAATTTCAAGTTCGTCACTCCACTCCTACCTACATATGGCTACATCGTGCAATTTATTTCATGTTGACGCCTGCGTGCAACGGCATAAAGCTTAGACCCAAGAAATAATTTATGAACAATTAATAAAACAATGATCATTGTCATCCGTCCAAGTGCCGGTGACGATGCAGCACAAGTTGGAGCCACAGTAATAAGTCGCGATGAGCTTGCTAAATGAATACGTATGTGACAATTGCGACGTCTGTGCGAGGATAACGACCGCGACGATAATATAGTTTATATTTTAGGTACCTACCTATTATTATTAAATAGCTCGAAAGTTGTTGAATGCATATTTTTAAATTTCATCTGTGTTTAACTCATTTATTGTCAGTTCATGTAAGTTCACATGAACTTTTTAATTTATGACTTTTTTTAGTGCAATTTTGGCTTGTTTTGGTTATACCAAGTATCAAATATATCAATATCGGTTTGTTTATAGGTACTACACATTTGTACGTATAATAGAGATCTGAATTTTTGATAAAGTAAAAATAACAATAAAAAATACAATTATCAACAACAATAAAATTAGCTAAGTACACGGTATACTTTCACACTAGAAATTTTCATATTTTTAAAAATTTTTTTTGTATAATTGTTCGTATATAAGTATGTTTTTTAAATTATTCTAATAACCTATGCCTACATAATATATATTTTGTAATGATTCTGTGCAGTGGCCCAAATTTTATGAGCAGGGGGCACTTGCTTCCCCATCCTTCAAAAAATAATAATTGGTGATAAATATGCCTGATCCTATAGTAGCTCATGGGTCGGAAATTAGTTTCTAAGGGGTACAAAAGATTTGAAAAAATACAATTTGGTGATCCGTTTATTTTTTCTCGACCGTCTAGATTCGGATCGCCAACTATTGCCAATCCCCGTAGTAACTACTAACTCATAGAGGTTATAATGTTATATCTTATACATACTTGTACTTTATGGTTTATGCTATAGTTATTCATTTTATTGTAAACTTAACTTTTTATGATTAACTCGTCAATTGTATCCACCCAAGCACATAAACCAGACTGATAATCTATAAATGATTTTTTTTCAACTTGTACGCATTTTTAATTTTTTGAATAGGTTCTTCCCTATAAATAAAAATAAAAATAGATCAATTTTTGATATTCTTACGGAAATATCGTGTAGTTGGGTGATTATACATTTTCTAAGTATTTTTAATCCAAATACTTCTGACTCCTAAATGCATACATAAATATATAATTTATACAACCAATATTGTTAATAATTATATCGATATAACTAATAAGTATTATTGTTAAGATATTTTATTTGTAAAATAGAATTATGAAATTTGTAATTATAATCGGTGACGACGACCGTCGTATGTATCAATATTTATACTAAGCACAACAGTTAGAATTATTTGACAATTATTAATGCTGTTGTGGTGCGTAATAATTGTTAAACAAAAGTCACTGTTTTTGTAAGGTCGACACGAAAGTTTTTGTTCGCCGCGGCTGTCCCTGGCGGCTGGCACATACAATACACGCATAATTAATTATTATTATACGTACCTACCTACGGCCCATGTGTTATCGTTTCTATCACCGCAACACTGTTTAGTAATATTATTAGGCACGATGACTACGAACGGGCTGTGCGAAAAGCGTAATTAGTTTCGCGAAAACAGACTTGGCATTCAACGAGGTTGTTCAGCGGTGGCTCAGTCCGCGCCGGGCAAAATGAGTTATAAAAATAAACGCGGCGGCGGGGTCGATCGACACATGTATAGGTAACCAAATCACCGTCGTCGTCATTATGCTTTATTGGTATCAACCAATAGGTATCGTTATATTATATTATTATCTCATCGTTTTATTGTCGTTGTAAAATTATAACATCGTTATTTTTCACCGCTGTCGTAATACTGTGCTGCAGTTGTACACAACTCCGGCCTCTGCAGCTACCGCGACCTACTGCATTCGATCGCCGCTCACCGTTCCAACGATCATGACGGCCGACGTGCGGCGCCGATGCCGAGGAAGTGATCGTTACCGTCTGAGGACGACCGCCGCATCCGCCGTTGTCATCGTCGCCGCCGTCATTGCAGCGGTTTCCGTCGCGGCGGCACGCGCCACCACCTTTGAGGGCGGCGAGACGGCCACAGAGCCGGCCGACGACACGGTGTACATGACCCAGGAGGTGGCCGCGTGGAACGCGACGGCCGCGGCAGCTGGTGATTACGAGTACGACGATTACGATTCGACCACCGCGGACGCCCTGCAGATGCCCAGTGGCCGCTATTCGCCGAAACCGGAGACGACTGTTGCACCACGCGTGGACGCCAGCACAGTGGTGCCCGCTGCCACCATCACCGTACAGGTGCCTGCCGCCACCGTCACGGAAGAACCCGTCACCAACACCACCGCCGCTACCACCACTACTGCCGCCATTACCGCTGCCGACGCAAAGGCCGTCTACTCTACCACGACCTCGGTGGTCCGGCCGTCCACGTCCGTGACCACGGTCGTTACAGCCACCGATGCCACAACATTCCCGACGGCCACCACCGAATCAGGGGCGTTGATGAAGATCGCCAGTCCACTAGGCTATGGAGTGACGAACGTCACCACTGTCGCCACTACGCCCCCACCGACGACTCCGAATTCTTCGGCGCCGCTGGTGCAGTGTTGGCGGTGGACTGCAGCCCTGTTGCTGTCACTAGCTCTCGTCACTACCGTTGTGTCATAACAACGACTGCAGCAGTATAGGTTTTCGAGTAGCAAAACGCTACAACTATATTTTAATAGAAGGTATGAAAACTCCATAAGCGTAAATACATGGTTACAATTATTTGGGAAGGAGGAGGAGGGGTAGAAATATAAATGAACGCGTATTTACATAGGCGCCTATACGAAGTTAAGCTAAGAAATATTTCGGATGAAGTGTCAAAGTCTCCCCAAATGTACGCCTATGGAAGACTCGTAATCCGCCTCGCATCAATCGTCGCGAATAGTGATTTAATAAATAATATAGATGAATCGTTTATTTGCTTCACATTATAAAGTCAGTATATATATTGTATACCTATTATTTTAAGTTAAATTTATAAAGTTCGAACGGCCGTCCTTATAACTTTCCGAATTCAATACATTTTTCGTTATGCTGATCTTAAGACTTTTTTTTTTGTTTGGATAGGTAGGTACCCTTAAAACGAGACGTCAACTTGTCAACTGAATACTATTTTTCTGTTTCAAAAATTACAAATCCCTTCGCAGTTCGTGCTAAATAACCAGGTGCGTTGAGTCCAATATTATTATTTCTGCACTTTCGATGTCATGAAAATGATTCACCCTCTCAAGGTTAGGTCGATTAAATATCTTATCAAGATTTTTACTTTTTCACTAAATTGTCGACTGCCGTACCTACCTACCTACCTATAGAGTAGTATTTGTTCCAATATCGTGTTTTAATCATTTTATTAATTTCAAACTAACTGCTCAAACTGCATCTGTTTGGTTTTATTATTTTATATAAATCGATATACTAAAGAATAAAGATCAATTTTATTGTTCTGATCGCTTGAAATAAAAATTTTAGTATGTGCCTACCTAAGTCCTTATATATTTTGTCAATTGCTATTACCTGTACTGCCTCTTCTATTAAAAAAAATCGAATGTAATGTATATTTTACAGCAATATCATACGATATTTTTTTATATGCTTGGATCGCCTTTAGCCAAAACGTGAGACTTTTTACATCCCTAGCCAAAAGTATAAGAAGTTACAACATATTTTTCGCTCGACCTGCAGAACTCCCCTCCTTTAAATCTATCCAAGTACACATACATAATTTATACGTATCCTTTGATTTTTTTTATAATTGGCATAGCATTGTTCGACGAAATTGAATTCTTACCAAAACATCGATCTTGTTGTATTATAAATTATGTAATTTATTTAACTGTAATATTAAATAATATGTTAATGTGTTTTTGTAATAAGTAAACCAATGTATATAATATAGCTGTAAAATAGACAGTGATTATATTTTTGTGAATTTTGCAAGTAAACTGGAAAAAAGATTATTTTATTTAAAAAAGTTAATTTATTTTTTGGCATTCCTACCTGTAACGACCTACGCGGCTACGCCATATAAATAAATATATAATAAATATATAATACAACAAAATAATAATATCCTTACGTTTAAGCTTGACTATTTTTATTTAATGAACAAATTTAATCTGCAAATTTGTTTACAAATTGCGTGGCATTCTTACTGAATATTTACAAAAAAGATTAATTTAGAAAATAATTTGTTTTCTTAGAATCGTAGTAGGTACCTATATCAATTTGCATATTTTAGTGAACATCATAATTCATAGTAGCTTATATTGATTAGCTATTATTTCCACTCGATAAATTCAAATAGAATTAAAAATAGCTGTTGAGCTATTTATATTTAAATAAATATAAAATATATAGTTAATAGTTATTAGTTAGGACAGATATCCCATAGTTAGTATTTATAACAGATTGTAATTAAAATCATTTCTAAAATAAGTATATATGTAGGTACACTTTAATTTGAAATTAAAATAATATTTTATTTCAAGTTTTAAGATTTATAAGAACGAATAATTTGTTTTCCTTATTATATTTAATATCGGAATAATAATTCAGACAATGGCTCATGCGTTTACGTTTATACGCTTACACTTTATTGTTTAAATATTGCATTACCTACTTCAATTCCATTTAGTATTTTTTATATAATTATTTACATTCAATTCAAAACTTAAAAAACATTTTGATGTCTTGTTTTTTCATCATAAAGTTTTTTTAGCATAATGGAATTATATAATATTTCGTGAATCAAATTTATGAAATAACCGAATAAATGCTTATTTTTCGAGTTTTTTGTTTGATGAAATAATAAATAAATTACATAATAAGGAAATCTAATTAGAGTTATGCAACTATATGAATATATTAAAAATATTATTGTATTCTAAGGAAGTGACATTTTGTATTGCTTGGTTTTAAAAACCTACCCCAAAGAAATGAGTACTTTTACCTATAAATATATTTTTATACAACGATTTTGTGAAGGAATAAAACAATTTTTGTTTAAAAGTTAAAACTATATTGTATATTAAGCTTCATACTAATTTATTCTGAAATATGAGTATCTTGTGTGTCTTAATTCATAACAAAAAAATTTTTTTGATGTAATAATGTCTCTTGCAATTGTATGACAAATTGTTTAAAATGTTTTGTCATTGCAGCGTTGACAATAATATTGACAACTACTCTAAACGTAGCACATATATTTTAAATATAACAATATTGTGTTTCCATTATTATTTATTTGCGCAGATATGAATTAATTATTAAATAAGAACACTTTTGCAGAAACTAGAAAGACAAATTTCCCTATTGAGAACTTCCCCATTAGTAATTACTAATTGGATTCTTTTATAATATTGGCTTCATGCTTAATCGAGCTCTAATAACTTAACGACGGTTCTGCTTACAACCGTGGTAAGTACCTATTAAATTGATCGAAGAAGATCCGGCACTGATCAATATATGTATTTATATAAATTTCATGGAACTAATTTCATTAATGGCGTATTGCGTTTGTAACGTGGACACAAATACTATTAAGACGTGTACCTATACTGCTATATACTCACGATAGATGGTCGAAATGATTGTGGTAGTGAGCTGTACCCAACTACTCAACATTGACTTGGAAGACTTGGGATACGTTTTCCAAAGAACAGGAGAGAATACTTCAAGATTTTTTTTTATTGTTTTTAATAGTTATTAGTCTCATAATAATAATAATATTCAGGGTGTAACAAAATTAATATCTGAGCCTTAAAGTCCAAAGATGTGATTATTGTAAAAACTTCAACTCACAAGTCATAACTATACAACCCATATCCCAAACCCTCTCCAAAATATCGGTATAGCGCTGTAGTGACAGTTTTGTTTAAGAAATACAGCAACTATTCTCAAGGTAAATTCTTCCAAATTTTGAGATATTTTCATTTTTCATATTGGTGGTTGTTGAATACACACGACACACCACTTTGAACCCGAAAAAAGAAGCCACACTGAGTAACTTAATGTGACTCCGCCGGGAGTGACAGTTAGTTATGCTTAGAGATTCTTTTCAGGTACCTGTGGTTTCGAGACCATATTTTCTGCAGTTAGCGCACCAGAATTTCGACGAGGAGATAAGACTCGCCACTCGGGGATGGTCATCTCGGAGTTCACAGCCACCTTCTAAGCGTATTAGAGATCGATAAATATTTCTGTTCAGGGATTATCTTCAGTGACAAAGCGACATTTTACGTTTGTGGGAATGTCAATCTTCCCGATGTAATCATTATCATGATGCTAATTTAACTATATATACAAGTGCTTGGTAACAACATATTTTTTATATTTAGTACATTACGTTCATTGTGTAAGATACACACTTATATTATAATAAATAATAATATGAGTATATATCGCTCATATTTATCGCTCCGCTCTGAATCTAAAATAACAATCATTTTCTTTTATAAAAAAAAATTTGTACGATGTTTCTAATATTAGTAATATATTCTCTAAACGTTTATAATTTGTAAGTTTTAACCATTAGTAGGTATATCGTACAAGTGTTGATGATATACTAAGTATAACCTACTATTCCTCTCGCTTTTGCGTGCAAGTGACTTCCTAATTTTTAATTCGTATCTTTGACATAAGTAAAATAAGGTTTAAATAAATTGTTTAGTTTTAATTATAAAATTTTATAAAATTGTATAATTTTTAAAAATTATAATTAATCTGCATTGACACCTTAACTTTTGAAATTTGAAAACTGTTGTTATAAGTTTTAACATATACTAGCGCTTAAGTGTTAAACCAATTTATTTTTGTCATAAATTTGAACATATTATTATACTATTGTACAGAGTATACTGTATTGTACTATTGTTTGTATACATTTCAACATTTAAATGATCAAGCATAGGTGTATACAATATAAATATATAAAGTATATTAAAAATATTTATTTATAATGTGAATTATTTATTTGAAAATCAAAATACTTAATGAGAATTTAGTAAAGAAAATTATGGATAAGAAGAAGACAAAACTATTGGAAATTAGAACGAGTGAATGATAATTCGGCCGGTCAATACCAGGCAATAAAAAGGTCGCATTACGTAGTTTAAAAAATATATATAATATTTAGCGAAATTTCGATAACTCAGCCTCTGAGTACCTACTGTCGTACAGTAATAGTATATACCTACCTAATTCGAGCTTACGACCATGTAAATCCCAACGGACAGCAGAAGCGAAGTATATTAAATTTGCATACGAGGAAATTACGACGAACGTCGACGACCACTGCGCGTTGCTGTTATTTATTCATTATTTTTTTCGACAAGATGTACCCAGACAATTAGCGACGGCTTCCGGAGACGCATAATACATACCTATACCATACACATGTACCTACGTATAAATGCAATTATATGAAGTCACATCGTTAAGATGCTTGCGTCGTGTTTCCATCTAATGAATAGCGAGATACCGATCGTGCGAAATCCGGATTGATCTCATAGGTATATTATTATAATATAATAAAACAATGAGACTGTCTATACCTGCCTATAACTAATTTGAGAACGAAAATAAAACCGGCAACTCGTCTCCGTATAAAATACAATAGGCTT